TATATGTATATATAAATACTAAAATAAACTACTACTTACTACTTGTACTACTATTCCTACTTCGCAGTTTTTCACTTACCTCAGGGTACGGATCCCCTGTGAAAAACGAGGGACTGCTATAAATGTTGTTTAAAAATAAATAAAAATCTGACCTGACCTGAGGAGGAGGCAGGACTGACCGGCCGTTTGAAATAGTTAAAAAAAATGTCCAGTTAAGCTCAGAAGGATCAGCTGATCACCGGCCGCACCCTGCTGTCATCTGCGGTGAAGGAAGTTGCAGCATCTGAACTAAAGCCGAAGCGAGCAGCGCGTTCAATTAAAATTTCCTTGTTCTATATTTTTCCAAATAATTTTGCTCTGCAAATATTTTTGTTCATCTGTATAATAGCTTGTTGTTAGTGTTGTTGTTTTTTTAGGCTATTTGTTTTGTATGTTAATATCCATTTGGCGAAACAAGAAATCTAATATCTTCCTTTCTTTGAAATATGTTTTTTAAAATATCATGTCAAACTGATTTGCTTACAAAAGCAGTAAAAGCTTAATAAAAAAAAGTAAGTTTTTTTATTATTTCGTTTTTGGGCATGTAATTACAGTTAATCCGCCGGGCCGGATTTCCAGGTAGGCTACCATTTTTTAAATTAATTTATTCTTTAAACCAGCCATGTTACAGGCACGGTTCAGAAAAAAAAATAAAAATGTGCATGTTACTGATACGTATTTAATTAACGTTAAAAAAAATCTTTCTGTGTAAATATCTCAAGTTACAATGTAAACACCTGCGGCTCATACACAAGCACGGCCTAGATATGCAGAAAATTATAATTATTTTAATTAGTGGGCGCAGCTTATATCCGTGTGCGCTCAATGGTCTGGAAATTACGGTCGATTGGTTTGACAGCACCACGGTGGGGCAGTGGTTGGAGCTGTCGCCTCACAGCAAGAAGGCTGCAGTTTTACCTCCAGGTCTGTGTGTGTGATTTGTATGTTCTGCTTATGTGGGTTTTCTCCAGGTACTCTGCGTTCCTTCATGTATTTTAGTTTAATTGGAAACTAAACTATCCTTGGCTGTGAGTCAGTGTGTGAATGTGTCCCTGTGAACAAACTTGCGACGTGTCCAGAGTGTACCCCGCCTCTCGCACTTCTAGAAAAAGACGGTACGTACGGTAAAATAAACTCCTGGACGTTGTTGATGAGCTGCTTCCCCACCATTATGATGAAAAGCTGCTCAGCCAGTTCGATGAGGCAACCACCAGGACCACACTGTAACCATCAAGCACACAAATATAACTCAGCTGAGCCACTTTGTTGTTACAGTTTTGAATATGCAATACCATAACAATCACTTTCTCTATGAATTTACAAAATAACAGCCAGATGTAGGAGCACAGATGAAAAAAAAAAAGAGCTTACGTCTTCATTTCTCATCCCAAACAACGTTCCGTAGTTTGAAGGATAACCCACAAACCTAATCGTACAAAAAGATCAACAATTATTGTTATAATGCGATCATCGTTTTCACGTATGATTCCTGTGGCTGACCTACGTCTCACCTTCCTTTGAAGAAAGCCACGTAGAACGGAGACGAGTAGAAGTTGACAAACTGGAAGATGAAGACTTTGAAGGTGAAAGCGTTGTCGTACTGGGTTTGAGTTCGGTGCATTTCTGCAACACAAATATAAACGTGATGTTAAAGAAAACGTCGTATTTTCATTCTTGTCTTTTTTTTCCCATCAGGCTGCACCCATCTGCAGAAGTTTATGCCGTTTTTTTAAACTAAATATCTGGATAGTTCAGGATTTTTTGCGTTAGATAATAAGCTTCCAGCATTATTCCATTAATATATCAAATAAACCTTTGCAGCAAAAACTGGCTTTTGTGTCAATCTAAATTCATATTCAATATTTTAATTGCATAGCAGAAGAAACCACTAAAGGGCACAAAAGGCAGATGTTTAGTCGATTTGATTTTGTGAAAACCACCATAATTTTTAAAGGTTTCCAGAACAGAAGTGATTCTTACCCCATTTGGTGAGCTGCTCAGCTAATGCAGTATAAACCTGCCCCATCAGCAGGATGAGGCCCAGGTTTACGACGCTGCTGGAGATGTTGGCTATAGTCCCTGCCTGGAGAAGAGGCCACATCAGCAGACATGTAGACAAACATCAATGTGCCTTCTGTCATTTTCTGTTATCGGCTGTTATCTGATGAATTTTCTCTCGATTTGTTAAAGGAAAAACATGAACTATTTCTGATAACAAATTAAACCTACATGTCTACTACATGCAGAATACCTCTGTTCGCAGCACAGGACTCCCCGTATGGTACATCATCACGCTGATGATCCCACGGCACACCACTACTGTCACCAGGAAGATCATCACCACACAAAGCTGAGAAGGAGAAACGAGAACGGAGGAAAAATTTCCACCTGAAGGATTGGTGGTATTGTTGAAGTTCAGAATGTTCGTGGTGACAACTAATCCTTTGTAGTCATCTGTAAAGCAGCTTTTTTCACTGATCCAACCCCACATTGCTGTTTGAAAACTCCAGCCTCCTCCACCTTTCCTCAGGGGAATCTTTTGAAAATATTGGCTTCACTTTTCCTGAACACAAATTTACTGCAGGGAGCAAAAGCTGCAAGAGCCTTTACTCCCTGCAGTAACTCTTTATAACACATTTTTACAGCACATATTCATCCTGTGGGTTTGACTGACCGGTATATTTTATTTTCTATTTCTAAAAGCGAACTTGTGCTCAAACTGAATCACAATAGTGTGAATGTTTATGAAGCATTCACACTATTGTGAGCCATTTTTCTTCCTTCAATATTTTGGCATCTTTCTCGATCCAGTATTTTTGTGATATTTCAACAAATCATAAATCAAAAACATTCAGCTCTTTCAGGACAATCCTGCTATGAATTTTGGTATTGGTGCAACTTTAGCTTTTTGAAATATTTAGCCTTTTCTGCCACATTTGTTTCTCATAGAAAATGAATTTAGCTCATTTCACATCCTTCACATCTTTAGATTTGTTTACAACATTTTACTGCACCTTTCACATTTTGTTCAGTTCAGCTTCTTTCAGCTTCTTTGTGCAAAGTTTAAAAAAAAAATTCAGCTACTTTCAGCTAATTTCAGCTGATTTTCAGCTGTTTGTGCTCCTTTCAACTTTATTCTGTTAACTACAACATTTTTGTGCTTCTTCTAACTTCTTTCTGCTAATGTCAGCTTGTTATGTTCCTTTCAGCTTATTTCTGCAAGTTTCAACTACTTCTGCTATTTCAGCTACTGTTTAGCTGTTTTTATGCTAATTTTAACTTGTTTAATGAATTCCACATTTTTGTACTCATTTAAACTTTTTTCAGCCTAATTCAGCAAAAATGTTCTCTCTCTACTTCCTTCTGGTAATTTAAGCTTCTTTCTGCCTTTTTTATAGCTACTTTTCAGCTGTTTTTGTGTGTGTGCTAATTTTAGCTTTTTTTCAGATAATTTCCACTTCTTTGTGCGGAGTTCTGCATCTTTAAGCCTAATTCGACAAAGGTGTTATTTCTGCTTTGTTCTGCTAATTTACACTTGCTCTATCTTTTAAGCTATTTTTTTTTTTTGCATTTCTTAGGTATATTTCAGCTGTTTTCAGATAAATTCAGGTTTTTCATTGTAATTTCTGCTACCTTCAGACTAATTAAATTATGTCTGCTAATTTAAGCTTGTTATGCTCCTTTCAGTTTAATTATCTAGATTCAGCTATTTCTGCTATTTCCACTATTATTCAGTTATTTTATGCTAACTTTAGCTTTTTCAGCTAATTCCACATTTTTCTAGTCATTTCAACTCTTTCCACTTCCTTCTAGTAGTTTACGTTTCTTTCTGCATTTCAGCTACTTTTCAGTCTTTTTTTTTTTTTTTGCTAATTTCAGCTTTTATTAGCTAGTTCTGCTAAATTCTGAATATTTAAACCAGTTTCAGCAAATATGAATTCCCTCTGACTTCTTCTGCTAATTTAGGCTTGTTCTTCAATTTCAGCTACATTGCAACATGTTTTTAAGCTAATTTCAGCTGTTTCTCAGCAAGTTCTTCTGCAATAAGCATGCAAACTGCATTTTCGCAGTAAATGCAATTTATCTAGTTAGCACATTGCATGCTGTATCCACAAGTGTGATTTTGATGGACTTTAGGGTCTACCGCGCTGCGCTGTCAAATCTTTAACACCGTCAGTTTTGTCAGGAGGAGGATGGAGGACACTGGATCTTCTTTTCTGTGTCTGAGTTACAGAGTCTGTCTAAAATCATCCGGTCGTATTTAAGCCTGCGGGCGCACGACCTGGTTTCAGCGTCAGAGAAAGGTTTCAGTTTCACAGCAGTGTTTGTTTGGCAGAACAGATGGCAGGTGTCCGAGCCCTCGTTGTATTGAAGCTTATTAAAAGAAGAGCTCAAGAGACGCCAAGACTCTTCACTGAATAGTGTAAAAAAACAAAGTTAATTTTTTGTCAGATTGGTGAAATACTACTGTTTGCGTAAACTACAGGACGTACTTTACGACATAAAAACAGTCAGATTGGAGTTCACAGTGATGTAACAGTACAAGAATTGTCTTTGTTACCCCGAGTACTTGATACACCATCATCTCAAACAGCAGCGGGTGTGACTCACCATCAGTATGATGACCATGGAGCCGGTGAACATACGGGACAGCCTCGTCTTTTCTGGAAAGTAGGGTTCTTTGACCCCCGTTACGGGATTTTGCTCCATCATCGGGGCCGTGGCAGCAAACTCTGGCCGGGGACGCTCCTGACAGAAAACAGTAGGTTTCTTTATAATGTGTTTAAACAACATGTGTGTTTTTGCTGTAAGTCTGCAGCATTTTTCTTTGTTCTCAATAAGAAAGGTTCACAAACATCAACATTTTGAGTAATCCTTGAAAGGAAGCCACAAACCTATTCAACTTTGTTGCTCAATTCATAAAGTTATCAACTCACAGCAATCAAGATTCAAGGTGGCTTTATTGTCATTCGCATCACATTTCATTTCACATGAAGTGGAATGAAATTGTGTACTCAAGGTCCCAGTTACATCCAGAAAGGAACAGATGCAAGAATCTAAAATATACTTATATATATAATTTGGGGGAGTGGTGGCGCAGAGGTTAGAGAGGTGGGCCTGTGATCCGAAGATCGCCGGTTCACGCCCCGGCCCCGACAACATCAAAATTGTGGGTGGGGTAGGTGAAACACCCACACTTGCCCCCACCCTCATTCGCCCCACTCTGGGCCCATGAGCAAGGCCCTTAACCCCCACCATGTGCTCCCTAAACAGGTCTCTCTTGAAAATGAGTTCTCGTGGCTCAATGAGACTAACCTGTATAAATAAAGGCTAAATGAAAAAAAAAAATACGCTAAACAATATTAAACAGCAGTCTGAATATGAGTCTGTCGTGAGCAGATGGGTATGAATACAGCAGCTAAGAAACCAGCAGCATGGATAATCAGCAGCATGGATAATCAGCAGCACGGATAATCAGCAGCACGGATAAAGTGTCAAATCTCCACATCAAGTTAAATCAGTTAAGGATTCAAATACATCAATCTGCTGATGTTCATATTAAAGCAACAAATAACCCTGATACCTCTTCCTCGTGGAAGTCCATGCAGTCCCAGTGATGAGCCAGAGTCGCCATCTTTCGTTTCCAGTACTCCAGAAAGGTTACAGCCCAGAAGGACATGAACACGCTGAAGAACACGGTACCTGGGTGGTCAAACAGGTACCCCAACTGCAACACAAGAAGTACGACTCAGCTTCCAGCCGGTGAGTCTGCACCAAGTTGGTTTCCAGTAAAAACTCTGGGTGTGGGTTACCTTAGCCATGGTGCAGATCTCAGACATGTTCCAGGCCATGCATGTTTTACAGAGTGGACACATCAGGTAATTAGCTCCACTCTTACAAATGTCCTCACTGTTGACACAAACAGGTTGTTACCGTATGTCTGGATAAATATGCCCAATGTACTCACAAATGTTCAACTGAGAGCTAATCAATTTATTAGATCGCCTAAAAACTTTCCCCCACTAAAAATAGTTGCTTTGAAAGTTAAATAAAATATAAAACCTTTAAATTAGTGTGCCTGCTTGCTGCAGGAAAACAGACACTGAGCTTTCGTTTACAACTTTTCTCAGCCGAGTTTTTTAAACTCAAATAAAAAGTACAAAATTTCCATCAACGGAGCATTTCACTACAGTTTAAAAGTTTGCTAACACAAAAGCAACAGAACACAACTAAAGTATCGAACATCTGATTATATTTGTAACTGAGAAAAAGTTTGCGTCAAACAAAATAATTATTCTTTAGTGGACAGCGTCAACAAATGTGCAACATTTGGTTACTTTTTTCTCAAAGTTATTTGTGTAACTTTATTTTCTTTGAATAATTGCAATTAAAACACCAAGTTATGAGATGTCTGTCAATAATAACAATTCAACAAAGTAAAGGCAAAAAAATACATAATAATGCATATATTTATAGAAGTATACTCACTTCTTATGAGACATAAATCATTTGTTTTGTTGGTACAAAAGAAATATTATAGCCTTTAGAAATGTATAAATGTAATAAACCTGTCACAGACTTTATAACTACGTAATTATGGAGCTTGTTGTTATTACAGAGTAAAATCTGCTTTTGCAGAATTGCACTTATTCATACTTATTTTTAAATAAAAACAAAAAGATGAGTTTATTTTCCCAGAAGTCATAGCATCCCTCAGAGGAAAAGATGCTGTGTGTTTATTTCCTCTCTTTCTCGGTGCATCAATAATAATCTCATAACTGCACAGTAAGTGCTGAACCTTGCAGCTGCAAATGCATCAAATCTAACCTAACTGCTGTTTATTTGCAGAAAAGAGGACGGCGTTCTCAGCTCAGGTAAATACTGCAGTCAGATTTATCTATCTGTATTTTAAATGTCTTTTTTTTTTTTAGTTTGCAGACTCACGCTGGTGTGTTGGCCCCCATGGTCATGACTCCAGACACAAAGATCAGGGTTCCCACCACAGCTGCCGGCAGCAGCCAGGCTGTGTAGAAACCTGCAGGGACACAGAGCTTCATTAGTCTGCAGCTCTCAGCTGTGATGGTGGTGGTGGTGGTGGTGGTGGTGGGGGGATAGGCTATTACACCACCCGCCGCACTAATGCTGCACACATCGAGCTGGAGATGATGGTTCTAATGATGTTTTCTGCTGCCACTGTGCACGCTGCAATTATCTCTTTGTTAATGGTACCAGCTCCCATGGAAAACACTCACATCTGGAAATAAAGTAAATTCTGTGGAAACAACTGTATATACCAAAAAAGAAAGGAAGGGATGGAGGGAGGAAAGAAGGAAGGAAGGAAGGATGGAAGGACGGACAGACGGAAGGAAGGAAAGATGGATGGATGGATGGACGGAAGGAAGGATGGATGGATGGACACAAGGAAGGATGGATGGATGGATGGATGGACAGAAGGAAGGATGGATGGATGGATGGATGGACAGAAGGAAGGATGGATGGATGGATGGATAAAATAAGTGTACCCAGCCATGCAAAGTAGAGTGCAATCTTCTCTCCGAAGTACTCCCTGATGTGGTCCAGCGGTTGGTACTTGTACCATTTGCACCAGCGGGCCCAGTAGTAGAACAGAACCTGCCTCTGGTTCAGCTCGTCAGGACGGATCTGGTAACTCGGCAGCTGAAAAGGTCCCTGCAGGAACCAGAACACACATGGTTGGTGAAGGAAACGACAGGGGCCAAAGAGCAGCTAACAGTCCTGCACCTCGTGCAGAGGATACGCTGCAGTGTAGGCGCCTTCACTCAGCAGCCGCTCCACACCAACCTCAGCCTTCTTCCTTTTGCCGTAAACCGTCTGAGCTAAAACCTCATAAACCTGAAAAATACAAAACGCTGTGAGCTCTGTGAGTAAAATACGCAGTCCATAAGCTTTGTCGTGTTTCTTACGATACGGTGTCTCTGTGTGTTCGTGAAGTACATCTCACGGTCTTCAGAGCCAAGAAATCTAAAGCGAGCAAATTATCTTTAAAATACATTTACATGATATGATCTCACCGTTCACTGAAGTGTACCTGAGCTCACCTGCTCATCTTGGACTTGCGAAAGGCACAGGTGTAGTAGTCCAGCGGCCTGTTTGGCACCGACTCCATCATGGCGTTGGGTATATAGAGTCTGTTTAGCACCCCAGCAGATGTGTTCAGGTCCAGATGTTGCTGAGCCTGAATGAAAACACAATAAATACATTTTAGAACCTTAATTGTTACTTTTTATGAACACAAATACATTGTTAATAATAGGCCCTGTAGTTCAAGTATGATAAAAAATAAATAAATAAATGGTTGGTCTTTTGCTTTGAATCCAATCTGTGCACAAATAAAAACATAATAACTTAAGTGATAAAAATCTCAGTTAAACTGAAGAAAAAAAAGTTATTCAAACATGTAAAATGTTTCAATGTCTACATTTGATTGAAACTTGCTATAAAAGGGACATTGATGTGTTGGTAATTTATTGACAACGTATCCAAAAGTGGTTCATATGTTTAACTTAAAATTTCAATTTTTTTATGGTAATCCCAGAAAGAAAAAAAAAACATTCTTACAGAAGTAAAATGGAAAGGTCACCCACTACGTAAACAGCTGTAATTAAATAAAAAAATTATGATGTTAATAATTGTAAAGATGATCGAGATTTTCTTGTCTATAACATAGAAAATTAATAAATTCTTAACAAATTTGGCCGAACTGGTCCAAAGCTGAAACGAGTATGAGGTCAGAGTGATCTCTGGGGTTCGGCTGCTCTGAGCTGAAAGCAGGTGATTCGGCTGTTAAAACCCCAACATGTGCTCAGCAGCACCACGCAGTCAGTAAACGCAGCTCGTCTTTAAAAACGACAACAAGGAAAAAAAAAAACGAGATCCAGAAAATTCCCCTGCATTGACGAACCAACAAACTGTGATTTTATTAATTTAAATGTTGGATACGTTTTATAAATCATAGATGTTTTGTCCTCCAGGCTAACGAGTCAGCATAGTTGTTTTTTATCATTGCACAGATAAAAAACCTTAACTTTTAAAAGGTTGGGCTGCTTTGTTGTAAAACATGGCCTAAAATATGGAGGATGGAATGGGACAAAATTAAATAAATAAATGTATAATAATGAACTGTATCATTTAATTATTCAATACAATCATTAAACATTCAAATTATTAAATACACAATTAATTAATTAAATGTCCCATGAAATAAATACATGTACCTTTTAAATTATTTAGAGTTCTTTAATTTCATCACATTCCACCTTCCAAAGTCGTCATGAAATTATGTTAACAATGTATTGAATAATTAAATGATACATTTCATTATTATTTATTTATTTACCATAATTTTGTCACATTCCATCCTCCATACACCTGCTCTCCATTAATTAACACAAGAGGAACTTACACTGCCTCCTAGAGGACACAAAGATTCTGCTTATTTTCAGCACAATTATTATTATTATTTAATGTATCCCAGCACCGTAGATCCATATGTGCTAAAAGGTGAATGCAGTTAATGTCATCAATAATTAAATGATCACATATTGAATATTAAGCATCACTGACCTGCAGTGGAGCTCGAAGAGACAGTTCTTCAGCATAATAAACCAGAACATCCCAGGGGGCACTGATTTTAAGAAAGTGAATCGTCTTCTTCTCGTTTGCGGTTTCCTCCTAAAGAAACCAACACAGAAGTTGTTGACTGACGAGTATAAAAATACATATATTTTAATTTAAAACGTAATCAGAAATAAAACGGGGAACCTTTTCCATGAGCAGTCCAGCACTTTCCAGATTCTGAACAAACTTCTCTCTCCACTGAGCCAGCTGTGCTTTCCTTCGCTCGGATCTGCTGCTCTCCTCAGGGGGAAGGAGTTCCCCCTCTCCACAGACCACCTCACTTTTCCCCTTCCCTCGCCGCTTCCTCCGTGATCGGATCTCCCACACCAGCACGAAGTCTAAACTCAGAGAGAAGGTTGAATGGATTGTTTGGCCCACAGGTGTGCTACAGAGCGAGGTGCTCCTGCCTACCTATTTTAGTTCTTCCATCTCTGAAGTAGTTCTCCAGCTGGGAAACTGGTTGGTTATTTGTACTGCTGTGCATAACGACCGCATCATCGCCATGACGACCTCCATCGGCAGCTGCAGCAGAAAGCTGGAACAGACAGCATGATTTCGTTATCGTTATCAAAATGTGCCGTTCAGAAACAAGCTGCTGCAGAAAGAATTTCTTCAGCTCTGCACGTGAACATTTAATTGCCTTTTTGATGAGCTCCGACCACAAACTCTTGTGCAACACTGCATCACATAAAAGCCTTCACTGTGCAGCAACGAGCCCAGAAGGACGGGACAGATCGCTGAGCGTTTTACAACAAAGAAAACAAGCTTCCAGGACAGTCAAATGTTTCCCACAAGCTAATTCTGTCTCCTGCTCTGCTCCAGTGGACGTCACATGAAGGCCAAAAGCTTCCAGGACTCACCTCCACATGCAACATCTGAGTCACTCAAAGTAGGAACGGAGCCGTTTAAAGGCCGTGCACTGAACAGGCAGCAGAATAAAGGGTTGCAAGCTCAATCATCCAGGTAGACAACAACAAAAGATGTTAAATTATGTCATCTGGACCAGTTTCATAAGTAAGAAATGTTTCGTCCCCACATCCAGAGGACTTCTTCAGTCTACGACCTGCCAAAAAGATCTGTCCCATAGGTAGTAGCCTTCACTGCTGTTTCAAGCCAATCTCCTGTGTGAATCTCAGAAGTAGGCACATGCAAACAGGGCCCACCCGTCCAAAACAATCAATCATCGTGTATTATAATCAAATGTTTTAGGCCACATAGTCAACTTGCTACTCACAGAATCAGCCTGAGGACAACCAAGGCCAAAGTGCTTCAGAAAAACAAAAGAGTTGTAAGCTCCATCATCCAGGTAGATAACAGGCAGCAGGTTTTTCTGACATGATCTGTGAAGAGAAAACCCTGCAGCAGTGGGGGGACAAAAGTAAACCAGAGCTTACGTATCGAGGGGGGATGAAGCTCCCGTTCTGCAGGCTGCCGTAGCCGTCTGTGGTTTGGGCTTCACCCCTGCTGTCCAGGTCCAGGAGGACTTCTCTGTCTTCCTTCACCACATCAGAGCTCTTTTTCACCATCATGATAAAAAAAGGTGCTGTGGTTTAAAAAATACAGAACACTGATAAATCAGAGAGAAAAAATGCACACCGAACTTGTCTTGGAGGTAAATATAAATATATATTTAAATGTACCTTTGTGGTGATGGACACTCAGCTGCTGGTGAAGTCTGGGTTTGCAGCAATCTGTGCTTCTCTTCTCCTCTTCCTCTTCTTTATCTCCGGATCCATCGGGCTGTCTGGCTCCACTGCATCAGCCGAGGAGTACCGTAATGGATGTAACATGCAGGCAGAGGCTCACTGCGCTCTGCTGCAGCTCAGCTGGGAAAAGACGGCACATCTGAGCACCATAAATAATGAAATGTTCAGTCAGGAGCAGAGCAGGAGAAACTCTGAGCTCTCAGTCAAAACAGCTGTAGGGTTATTATATAAGTAGTGTGTGTGTGTGTGTGTGTGTTTCTTATTGTGACTCTAATGATTGTTTCCTCGTCCAAACAAGCCGTTCTACATCCTCCTTGCATTTGGCTTTGAAGGCTACAAAAATGTACATAAATTATTAAGAGCAACGGCAGGAAAAGCTCCACCCTGCTGGGATGGTTTATTTTCTTCACAGGCACGAGATAAAATAAAGAAAAGAAAAGGAATATCTTAAAAGTGATATTTAAAAAAGGAACCCAGGCATAAATTATTTTGATTATGTCAGTTTTATGTTGCATTTACAACAGAGCTGGGTGAAAAACTGAATTATGTTTAAAGATCTGGAGTTAACGGAGTCAGAAAAGTCACGGATGCTGCATGAAGTGATCAAGCAGTTTGAACATAAAGTGATTCTGATTGAGCACAGAAGGTTTAAAAAAATTATTATAGGCCGCCCAGGTCCTCTGGATGGTTTATTTTTGTTGAAACATTTCATCTTTCATCCAAAGGACTTCATCAGTCTGAGGAGCTGCAACAAACTCAGTCCCACAAGCAGCACACTCACATAGTGAGCCAACCAGCTTGTTGGTGATAAAATGGTTTCTGGAGTCCGCCCTCTCCCCCATCGACTCGTTATTGAGCATGAACTTTGATGTTGTGAACCACTGTGGCCATGGCTGCCTCTGATGAGTTGTTGGGGGAGAGGGTGGACTCCAGAAACCATTTTATCACCATCAAACTGGTTGGTCCACTGAGTGTGCTGCTTTTAGGACTGAGCTTGTTGTGGCTCCTCAGACTGATGAAGTCCTTTGGATGAAAGACGAAAAATTTCAACACAAAGAAACCGTCCAGATGACCTGACATTGTTGGATTTTTTACCTGGATTATTGAGCATGAACTTTGACTATTATAGGATGGTTTGCTTAATTTATATTTATTTTTTTTAAGCGCGGGTGGGGTCTAACCACATTTGACTGTTTGTTATTAATAAATTCATAGTTATAATAGTTTAGTTTGTTACTTAACTGTTTGCATTATAGAAGTTTTTTTTTAAACTTCATTTAAACTAGAAAACAACAAAGTTACATTAATTTACTAACTAATAATCAATTAATTAATTAATTATCTTTAAGGCTTTCAGAAGAGCTGCTGTTTCAAACTCTGATGTTTTTACAAAATAAAATGACCACTGGCTTTGAGAGTTTCTCTGCTTGGAGCGTCTTCAGTTTATTTATATTTATTATATTTATATTCAACTCCAGGAATAATACCGGAGTAGGACTGAACCGTCCTCAGCTGGTTCCAGCTTCTGTCATTAGAGAGAGAGAAAACAATGATGAATGCTTTGTTAAAACCTCATAAACCTAATGAAATACTCTCAAAGTAGCCTGCAACGATGCAGTATTTAATACTAGAGAAACTGCATTTCCTGTGAAAATGCAGTGAATGCTTATTGCTGAATGGTTTTTGCTGAAAGGTTGAAGCGAGCTGAATTTGAGTAGCTTAAATTTGCTGAAAACAGGAAAATAAAAACAGAAAGCAGTAGAATAATGGCAGAAATGTGTTGAAATACCTGAATAGAGCAGAATAAGCTGGAATAGGCTGAAAAGATTAAAAAAAAACCTCTTAAATTAGCAGAAATAAAAGTAGCTGAAAAAGCTAAAAAAAAATAAAATCCAAAATTAGCAGAAAGGGCCTGAAAGGAGTATTAAAAGTTGAAATGCTTAGAAAGCACTACAGCACAAAATAAGCAGATAGTAGGAAAAAAGCTAAATCTAGCAAAAGAAAAATCCAAGTATCTGAAAAGCAGAAATAGCTGAATAAAATAGAAAGAAGCTGAATCAGAACAGCAGCCGAAATGAGCAGCAAAAGCTTTTAAAGCACAAAAGCTTTGAAGGATGTGAAGAAAGTTTCATGTATTCTTAATGAAAAAAAAAATAGGCAAGAAAAAGCTCAATGTTGCAAACAGAATGGCACAAATAATAAACGTCAGAACATGGACGAGCTGAACGTTTTGAAATATGAATTGATGAATTAGCACAAAAACTGTGAACAGTAGTTACGTGCCAAAAAATTCACAGAACACCCACTAGACTCATGTTCGGGCTGCTTATTAATTTACCATTTTATTTTACATTATTAGTTTTAGATCCTTGTACACCATTTCTTTTTATACTTTATATTTTTGCTATATTTGGATGCAACTGAGACCTTGGGTACACAATTTTGTTCCACCTCATGTACCACATGTGATGTGAATGACAAAGAACCTTGAAAAATGGATCTTAATAGCGTGAACGTTTTATAAAGGTTCACTCTATTATATCTAAAGAAGATTGTTGTTGCCATAGAAACAAGAAGTGGTCTTAAAAGCCTTAAATAGGCAGTGGTTCTGACTGAACGGGACTCAGCTGCAGATGTTTGCAGCTGTTTTGTCACATTTAAACACGGCACACATTTTTCTGAGATATTGCTGTTATCAAACAAAAAACCGTTTTAGCTTAAAATGGGTTTTACTTTAAACATTTACAAAGTTTACTGCTTATTAGGGGTGTAAATCACCAGCTTTACCACGATATATTATATTGATTTGTTTGTATGACGATACGATTTGTCTCGATATCACGATACGATTTCGATTCTATTTGATTCACAAGTCTGTGAGCGATATATTGCGATATCAAATGCCCATCTCATTTACATATAAATTAACCAAAAACAATTTAAATATGATTTAACATATCCTGATGCATGCTCAATATGATTTAACCATTTTATTTATGTTATTACAGGCACCAGGCATTAAAATAAAATATATTTTTTCTTAATGATGTAGTGGACTAGGCAATACAATACAATCAATTACAATGAAAACATAAAAATAAATGACCTGTTCAGTATAGTCTCACATTTCTCGTTTAAGTGCGTTTTTTAAACCACTTAACTTAAAGGTGCCCTGATTACCTTTCAGTTATAAACAAAAAATATATTGAGCTTACATGACTATCAATGTCGTTTCTTCTTCAGGTGAACGGCCAAATTTGTTGTTTCTCGAATATTTTAACTCACACTGGCACCTGTTGCATACGACAAGAGTTCTGTCTGTTGAGTCGTCGTCCTGTCGGAATCCAAAATATTTCCAGTGTTGATTTAAATCCAGCAGGAGAGCGAAGTTCATTATCTGCGTTTTCTGCTTCGCCTGCCATGTTGCTGAGGTGGCCGCAGAGCGCAGCTGTGCACGGAAATGGTGACAGACGTGACTTGGGAATTTCAAAATAAAAGCGCATTTTAAAGATGACGATATGAATCGATGTTTTAGTTTTGCCACAATATAATTGAATCATGAATCATTTAATTGATATAAATCGATGTATTGTTGCACCCCTACTGTTTATGAGATTCACACATCAGTGCATTGCATTAACATTTTTACAAAACGTGTCAGAATCAGTCACGTGCAAATTCCAAGCCAAACACGCTCCACGCTGCATACAAAAACCTCTTTCGGAAGGCGAGGTCATTTTCTGTAGCAGCTCTCGCCCGTGCGTCCCTGCTGTCACCTTCAGTGTAACTGTTAAAAACACAAGCATGAGTACACAAGAGCTTCTTTACGCTTTATTCAGCTGCGCTGCCAATTTCCAAAAGCTTCACTTGTACATTCACTGCAGGCGTCAATATAAAAACCTCTGAACATGCGTGTGCTTCTGTAGACTTCAGCAGTTATGCATATTAGGCCTTCATTTGCATCTCAGTAAACCTGCTAATATGATACAAATATTACATGCGAGTAGTACGTATAAATAAAATCCAAACTTTCTTCTTAATAAACGCATCGCTTCACAGGTTTTATCCATCATTGACCAGCAATTTTCCACATTTAAAACACTGCTTAAAAAACTACTTGTTTCACTTTTTTTCTTTACCTCAGGCACATTTTAACCCAAGAAACTTTTCAAGTAAGTCCTCCCGAGGCTGTAATTCCTTCAAGAATTCATTGGGGTGGGGGGGGTTTAACTGCACAACCCACTCTAAAACCCACTGAATTAATAAAAGGCATGTTTTATAAAACTGTTTGTTCTTGGAGCCAATGCTCTGCTCCTCTATGTGCAAAACCCCAAACGCTCAATAAAATACTGTGAACAGAACAAAAGTAAACCCACACAGTGATTCTCCAGTTTTTTTTTTTTTTTTTATAAAACAGACACAGATTAGTGGCACTTAAAAAGGCTGAACCCCCTGATTAAGAACACAGTGTGACTGCAGATGTTTGGACAGCTGGGTGGTGCTTCTTATATAGTGCATACTGAACAATGTGCAGTTTCAACAAAGCAAAAAACAAAATAAAATGTTTTTTTCTTTTTCCAAACAATCCCTCCCAAAGAAATCTTTCGGTTTCAAATCCAACACATTTACACGCACCTCAAACAAAATCAGGACCCAAACCTTGTAATCGATAAAGCGTCAGTGCCGTGTGCCAAACCTGACCCGTGTGAGGCATCTCGTTAAATGTCGACTTAATTTAATCATACTGGTTATTTAATGCCATTAATATTTAATACTATATATAATGTATAATAATTTAATAAGATTTAATACCATTAATACAATTAACTACTTGTTATTTCTAATAAAAAAGGCAATGTCATTGCAAAATAAATCATTACATTCCTGTTTTAGTGACAACAGTAACAGATCTTAATATTTACTTTATTTACCTCACTTGGGAGAAAGTTGCAGTTTCACCACCCGACTGAAGAGTTTGCAAACTGTTCTCCAATATGTTTGTGCAGAACCGATGAAGACAAATAATTTATTGAATCAAAACCGTGACTCATACCGGCAACAACAAAAAACAAAAAAAGTGCAAGTATGCATGGAAACCTCCGTTTGTTTCTGCGGAGTGGAGAAAAGGCAATCGTGCTGCACCTCCTGATAAAATCTATAAGAAAACTTCAGACTGACGTTACACACACGTTATCCACCGTTTGTGTAAAAGCTCCCAGCTGCTGATGAGCTGCTGTTCGACAGGAGAACTGGTGGTGGAGGTGCAGAGTGACGTTACAAAAACTAATCTGAATATCAGACACAACCGTCGGCGAGAACGCACCGCTCTGGACAGCGTTGCACTTCTGTAGTAAACCTACACCACAGCTAGTGTTATCAAAACAAGTAGTTACTGTTGTGGACGTTAAGGCAAGCAGCAATTATTCATCTTTTTTGTGTGCGCACAAGAGTGTGGACTTAACCCAGTGTGCATAAAAATTAAACAAAACACCCAGATTGATTGACGCGGTCATTCTCACTTCGTGGTAAAGCTCCCGGCTGTTCGTTTCTGTTTCCGACTCAACTTCTTACTCGCCCGCTTCAGAACCATCTCTCAGAGTTTGATCACGTTCAGATAAACCGTTACCGTGACGGAGAATAACGTGTCACTCGTTACGTGCTCTGCAACGTCAGCAAAAAACATTTCTAAAGCTTCGCTCATCCATAATTCTGATTGATCAACCGGCTGCTTTGCGCTGGCTAAGAGCGTCGCACGCACACACACACACGGGTTATCGTGTGTGTGTGTGTGTGTCCGTCAGCACCACGGTTCCCGCTGCGCTCTGCCTCGAGCCAGACTGTCCGCCCTCTGCCAGGCGCTCCTCATCAGCTCGAGGGCCTCGCCGCAGCGTTTCTGCACCAACGGATCGCGCATTTCTCTGCGGGGAAGGTCGACCTGCGGACGAAGGATGACACTCATGAGAACTTAACCTCACAGAACACGTGGTTAAATTATTATTATTAAATATTTGTACTTTATCCTATTCAAATGACAGCATACAGGTTCCTCTGACCTGAAAAATGGCTTTCCATACTCTTTCTAACTCTTGCAGAAGTCGATCTCTCTCTTGGCAGCCGCTGAAGTATAAGACCCACGGGGGGAGGAACTGGACCCGGTCTGCTGCGAACTCCTACAGACACAGCAGTCTAGTTTAAAGGCTTCAATACAGACATCAAAACACACAAGCATGCTCTACGTCAGTCAGAAAACATGTTTATATTCCGTCTGGTGAACATCGCAGCTGTTGTTCTTGTGCTCAGATGAGTTTAATGTTAATTATTATGTTAATGACACTTGGTCACCATCAGTTTGTGTTTATATTCAAGTCTAACACACAAGAAATGTGTTGCTGTACCGTTAGCGTGCGGATGGATTTTAGCGTTTATTATGGAAACAATATTAGGGATGAACGATATCATCGGCATGGGATCGGCGATATTAGCGATAAAGTTAAATATCAGACATTCCATCAAAATAACTAACCGATTTAAAAAGCATCGTTTCAGCACAATGTTATGTCACACGCGCTGTTGAGTTTAAATTTGTGAAAATTTACAAATTTGCACTGTTTGAATGTTGTCATTGTGTTAGAGAGTAAATGTCATGAATAAATTTGACATTAAACATAATCCAAGTTGAAGTGTTGCATCATTTTCTGCCCCTTCTGCATTTGGTAGCAGGTCAAACTGACAAAGACCATGCAGAACAATGTAGTATTTTAATTCCACAGCAGAGAAAGCTGTGTAGGTCTAGGGAAAAAATATCGTATCAGTATCAAAGATCAGCCAAAAATCCAATATCGTGAACCCCTAAACAATATACTTCTGTTTGTGTACTTTTTAATCCTTTAACAGACCTGTGTGAGTTGTGGTTCTCCAGTTGGCTCATTGTTATAGTTCCCAGGATTTTTCTCTAATCTTAGAAAAGTGTTTTCATATTTTTCACCTTGGTCATTGAATAATATTCAAACCAAACTGAAGTTGAACGCTTTTGTCTCTTTTGGAAAGATTAAAACTCTGATAAAGTCTTCTGTAACTGAAGAGCACACAAGTTGTTTTTAAGCTGGACTTTGTATGCATTTTATGTTCATCCTGACTCGTTTTATTTCGTTTATGTACTTTAAGTAACTGTAATCTTTAGTTCAAAATGCTGTAACGCTGTTTCATCTTGACCAAGCTTTGTGGAAAAAAAGATCTCAAAAGACTTCCTGGTTAAATAAAAAAATATTTAATTAAAAAAATGATATTGTATTATTCTGTTACAAAGTAACCTGAACTACCTGAATAAGTACCTTAGTAGGAAGCACTTATACATACATACATACACATGGTTCTAGAACTGCGCCGCTCAAGGTGGCTGCATGTTGGAGCAGCTCTGTTACTTTCATTCTGAGATTTTGCTTTTGGAAACTTTAATTCCTCTTTTTCTGGATGTAAATCACATTTTTTGGATGATTGTTTCCTCTGGTATCAGATGCTGTGCAGCTGGAAGGATTTTTACGGAAACTTTTTTAGTTTTGGACATTTGTTATGATGCGTAACCATGGCAACAAGGCAGTTTCTACAACCAACAGCAGCTGATTAACATCTCAAAAGCTCAAGTATTATCTCAACTACAGCCCTAAATTTCAAATGAGTTGAAAAGGATGTTCTGTGGACACATTTTCATCTACCTGCCAGCTGTGCTCGAGTGCCTGACCACTGAGATCCTGGAACTAGCAGGAAACACGGCTCATGACAGCAGAAGGACAGGATCGTCCATCAGCACCTACAGTTGGCTGTCCGCAGCGACGAGGAGCTCAACAAGCTGCTGGGAGGAGTGGCCATCGCCCTGGGAGGATTTCTGCCCAACATTCAGGTGATCCTGAAGCCCAGGAGGCCAACCAAGTGCAAGTAAACGGATCAACATCTGTGGCCAGTTTTTTCAGATCTGCTATAAGACGGACCATCACAAGAGATCCTTCCCACCCACAACCATCAACATCTAGAACAACTCTTTTATGAAACAAGGAAAATGAGCTACAACAACACTTAATTTCCCTCTGGGATTAATAAAGTATTTTTGAATTGAATATACCATAATTACCAGACTACAAGCTGCTACTTTTTTCAAAGACTTTGAACCTCACGGCTTTTACAATGCTGCGGCTAATTTATGGATTTTTTTTTTTACGGGCTAACGAGCTTCCTGCCACCAAAACATTTAGCCTCATCTCACCTGGGCGCTCACATAGCTGCCCATTCAACATCTCTCTTGGGGGGGGTGGGTCTTTGTGACTTTATTTTACTGTTTAACACACAGACAGACGCAGAGGGGGATCCCCCCTCCCATTTCAATGATTCAACTGTAACCTGTTAGGTAATTTCATTGGCCAGATTTTGTTTTTTAACCTTTATTTATACAGGTAGTCTCATCAATACACATCTCTCTTGGGGGGTGGGGCCTCATGACTCAATGAGACTCAATGGTTCATTGTGGTTGACTGTCAGTCACATGGCCTCAGGGAGGGATTATGGGTAAAATATATGTTCATTGTTAATCATTTGTTTGCCAAGATGGTGTAGAGGCAGGACAGCCGACTCGGGACCCGAAAGTCTCAGATTCGATCCCCAGTCATTGTACATCTCGTGGTGTCTCTGAGCAGCACACCCTATCCCCAAATGCTCCCTGGGTGCTTTCAACAGCTGCCCACTGCACCACCTGGTGGTGGATGGGTGAAATGCAGAGAGCCAATTTCACCATTGAATGGGAACATACAATGATGACAATACATGACATTATTATTTTGGTTAGCTGTTTAGCATTGTTTTTTTTTATCAGTGATTAGTTTGTTCTTCTTATGTGTTTTTTATGTGTTAGTTAGTCCATTCAGTAGAGTAAACATGAGTGAGGGAGGTAGTTGTCATGATGACCTGTGGTGTTCACTCTGTGTTGAGAAGCAAACTAAAGTCTATGAAACGCCATGTGGTGGTTGAATCTTGATCTACAACAAGAACTGCACATTTCTCTCAGTAGCTGTGTGCTGCCACTCATGTTACAACGTTAACACCTGCGGCTTATACATGTACATCCATCCATCCATCCATTATCTTTTACCCGCTTCTTTCATTTTGGGTCACGGGGATCGCTGGTGCCCATGTCCGATAATGACCGTGAGAGGGGCGGGGTACACCCTGGACGGGTCACAAATCCATCACAGGGACACAGAGACAAACAACCATTCACTCTCTCACTCACCTAGAGACAATTTAGAGTTACCAATTAGCCTAACATACATGTTTTGGTCTGTGGGAGGAAACCAGAGTACCCGGAGGAAACCCACGCATGCACGGAGAGAACATGCAAACTCCATGTTTGGACCGGGATTTGAGCTATATATGTACAATTTAATTTAATTTATTTACTGTGCGATGCTTATACTGTATTCAGGTGCGCTCTATATACCAGCAATTATGGTATATGTATAAATATTTGAGATTTTCTGATTGATTGTAAACTATATATCCTTTTTTAAATTTATTTATTAAATATTTATAATTTACAACATAAGTAATAAAATTCATGTTACATGTTAAGTTACAATCCAAACCCTCCTTCCTAAAAAAAACAATAAAAGAAAAGCAACTGGTCTCGTACAAAAATATAATATCTACTTTATTCATTTCATATTCATTCAGCCTTTATTTAGACAGGGAAATCCCATTGAGCCTCGAGGACTCATTTACAAGAGAGACCTGATTTCAACAAAGAATAATGACAACAAATATCATCTACATTAAAAAAAAGGATTTCTTTAACTGGACGAGCAGCGGGTCACTCACAACAACGCAGTACTCCTTGTCACGCTCCAGGCTCACAGCGGTGACGTTGCAGATATCGGCGCTGCCCAGAGAACGGAAAAAACTGGTCTGACAGTCCTGATGGCAAGTTAGCAGCTTGTTGTCTGTCATTACCAGGCAGCATGGGATGCACGGGGAGGGGGCCACACCCTGGGGGATCACCTGGAGGGAAGATGGCTACAGTTCTTTTACTCCAAATAAAAACGTTGCATAGGAGTTCAAATGTGTATGCAATTAACTTATGGAGTTGACAATGTCATTTATGCTTCACTAAACATGATCTATTTTTATTCTTCTAGATTTTCACAAAAATATATAGTTTAAAGATAAGATGTTTAAGAATTAAACACAACAAATGCTTGGTACGTAGATAATCTCTTACCCCTTTAGAGACAGACTGACAGAGGAGTTGCATCCAGTCAGCCATTTCCTGCTCATTGCTAGCGCAGAGCACCAGCGGGGGGCGCTCTGTCAGAATGACTTGGAAGGCGTGGGGCCGATCTGTGATGTTGGAGCGACGGCAGCCTCCACAGTGCTCTCCGCTAATGAGAAACGGAGACACAAACAGCTCGTCAACTTCCCAGACTGCATGCTTTCATTTCCAAACGTTTCAGTTTTTGAACTTTGAAACTTCAACGTTATGTCTGTCAGCGTCCGAACACTTACCCCATGGTGACCGACAGCAGAGGTGTCACATCTGTTCTCTCCGAATACAGGTACAGAATCCCTTTACTGCACAAAATTACATCAGACACTTAGGGCTATCTATTATGTTGGATAAATATAACAAAACACAATAATTGAGCCAAGTCGATGTGTATTTTAAACTGTTTTCCCTGTTTTAAAACATGTGTTGTTGTTTTTTTTGTTATTATACAAAGTACTTTTTTAATTACAAAATTTAAAGCAATATTGCAGCCATTTTTAGATGGGACAAATATTACTGTATCACCGTTCAATGCTAATGCTAACCTGCCTTTAAAATGTTTAACATATTCAAAACCTTGTTAGGAGGAAGCAATTACAGAGTTCAATGGTTAAAAAAAAACAAAAAAAAAAACCTTTGTTGTAGTGTTTTCTTAATTATCATTTGAAAGTAACTACCGGTACATAGCCCTGTATCAATGAATGATCGAATAAAACAACTTCAGTTTTAACTTTGAACGAATGAGCATTAAAAGGGAAAGGACATTCATGTTTTAATGTGTTTGTAAAGTAAAGTGACCTTCAAACCTTAGATATTTACACTTTATGATTCATTTTTAATTAACCGTTAAAAGAAGTGCGGCGGTAACATCTGAGGGATGTATGACCGGCTCGTACCTGAGAACGAGATAGCAGCTTTTCCACAACTCTTTACCCAGGTATGTAGTTCCAGACATGTACAGTATAGTTCCTTCCTTTGTGCTGGAAGGTACTCCAGAGGTTGGAGTGCTACCTTGAGGGGACAAAGTCAAGTCCATAGGGTCCTCCCAGTGAACCAGGGAGTACAGATGAATAGACACTTCAGATACCTGGAGAAACGATCAAGCGATCCGTTAACCTGTGATTTGAATGCCAGACAAAGATCAGAAACTCTGCAACTGTAAAATGGCAGAAGAGTAAAGGCAGAGCATGACAACAGTTGCTAACTTTTTGAATGACGTGAAAACAGAGACTATGTTTTAGACCGTGCCAATTTTCCACTCATGTTTAATTTATGCAACATTGGTTTGAAATTACTACATAAATATAAGTAGTACTAATAACTAATTGATACAGCGTTCTCTTTGCGAGTGCCAGTCGTGAAAACCTGTAACAGTCCAATATACTCAACACTACCTCACTGTGACACTCCTGGGAGACAAATTTAGTCAGAGCCAGTTTTTCCATTGTAGCATCTGTCAGAACAGACGGATAGGGAGGCTCACGACAACCCTGCACCATGGCTGACGTCAGAGCAGACAGGAACCAGCTGGAAAACGAGGGACGAAACAAACTGGAAGTTAAGACACAATCCTCCACTTTCTTTGACTTGTCTGTCCGAGTCTTCAGTCTAATGCATAACGTATGATTATTGACATATTTTGTAAAAACTACCTTTGACAAATACGTCTGCACGTGCAGGAAAACAAAAACAAACTACTGTAATTTCTGGACTATAAGCCACTACTTTTTTCACAAGCTTTGAACCCCATGGTTTATACAACGCTGCGGCTAATTATTTTGGACGGGCTAACGAGCTTCATGTCACCAAAACATTTAGCATCAAACCCGGGCGCTCACATAGCTGCCCATTACACTTCTCTTTTGGGGGTGGGTCCTTGTGACTCAGTGAGTCTACCTGTATAAATAAAGGTTAAATGTTTTATTTTTGTTTTAATAAGACCAGTGACATTACCAAACAGGTCACAGTGGACCAATGAAATTTCAAATTATTGTAAATCAAACGCACTCTCACTAAATTCTTCAGATCAGTTATTTTGCATGTCATGCACACACCCTCATCATGGAAAACACGAAGAAATGCATTTGATGCAGCTTTCAAGCTAAAGGCGATCAATCTGTCGAAGAAAGAAATAGAGCTGCTGCACGTAAGCTTGGTGTCAATGAATCGATGGTGAGACGCTGGAGACGGCAGCATGAAGAACTGAATCCATGCACAGACAACAAAAGCTTTCAGAGGTAAAAAACAGCAGATGGCCAGAACTTGAAAACATTCTTGAAGACTGGGTGAACACACAGAGCAGACGGCCGAGGTGTTTCCACCGTGTACATCTGATTGAAAGCCAAAACAATCGCCACCGAAAACAAGATTGAAGATTTTAGATTTTTTATTTTTTAACATAGCGATCAGTGACTTTTTCTGGTAGACTAAGTATTTATTTTTTTAACCAGTCATGTTACAGGCACTGTTCAGAAAAACGCATTTACTGTACGTATTTGTGTATGTTACCGGTATGCGTTTAATTAAAAGTTTAAAAGATCTTTCTGTGTAACAACGTGGACTCCCACGGCTTATAGACAAGTTTGGCCTATATACGTACAATTATTTCATTTTTATTTAATGGATGCGGTTTATATTCGGGTGCGCTCCATAGGCCAAAAATTACGGTACAAGTTAGAGCAATAAGAAACACGAGACACACAAATAAGGATCTACTCACACAGTCAGTGAGACATCAGCAGTATCCAACAGGAACTTTCTTCGTCTGTTGGTGCAAACGAGAGTCACCGTCTGCTGGTCGAGGCCCACCTAATGGGAACATATTATCACTATCTTTTAAGAGCAAAACTAAGACTGTCCGTCATCAACCCAACAACCCCATCTGCATCATCAATAAATACGATGTAAATATTGCATCATTAAATTGTGCCATATGGGAAAAAATATCACAAAAATCTTGAACAGAAACCCAAATTAACTGGAAACCCTAAAAAATGAAGGCATCTATATTTAAAATAACAAAACTAAATAAGTTAAGGTAACTTACAGAAAGATAGTCAAGCTCATTATAAGAAACAGCATCTTCAACTGTGTAGGGCTTTTCAGCTGCTCCTGAGAAAAACAAAATACAGCAAAAACAAGCAGTTTCAGTGCTTAGGTTCATGTTGGCGTCTGTCAAACTGTTTGTCGAACAGCATTATTATTTTCTATTATGAAAATGTAAAAAATAGTTTGATGAGAACCAAATGCACAGAAAAAATGAATTGCTAGAAGAAGATGGCATCAGCTTTACACTTTGTGTCCTATATTGCAAAATAAAATAATTTTAAAGCCAGAGAACCTGGGTTTAATCCACTTACCCTTTCTTAGTAGGTAGATGTAACAGTCAGTCAGCAGCAGATACAGAGGCTGCAGGTCCCCCTCCATGTGACCTGTACTCATTCTCACCATCTGAACACAAAAAGAAAATAAATTATAAAACATGCATTTTGATTGCACAGTTTCATGTAAAAACAGTGAAGTTTTAATTTTTCAGCCTGAGAAAAAGATAAAAAGCCAAGAGACAAGGTTAAACTTGAACAAGTCCACTGAGGATCTCTCTAAACCACTTCTTAATGTGAAAACAGATGACAAAACCTCCATCTTTCCTGGCAACAGATACCACAGTAATTATTTAAAAGAATATTTTAAAGACAGGAGAAAGAACTGGAAGTGGCAGAAATGAAGATGTTGAGGTTCTCCTTAGGAGTGACAAGGATGGAGAAGATTAGGCATGAGATCATCAGAGGTACAGCACAGGTTGAACAACTGGGAGATAAAGTTGGAGAGACCAGAGTGAGATGGTTTGGACATGTCCAGAGGAGGGATAGTGGGTATACTGGTAGAAGGATGTTAGAAATGCAGCTGCAAGGAAGAAGACAAAGAGGAGATATATGGATGCAGTTAGAGAGGACATGGAGGTAGTTGGAGAGGATGCAGAGGACAGAGATGGAGGAGGACGACTCTCTGTGGAGAGCCCTGAAGAGGGAAAAGCTGAAAAAATAAGAACAACAAGAAGAAAAATAATAAGATCAATAATAAGACTAAGAAAAAGAAGAAGAGCTTTTAAAAAAATTTTTATCCGATATTCACATTTTTTCTGATTTAACACATGAAAATGTCTTTTTCTGTCTTCACCTTAAAAAGCTGCTCCTCATTCTCTCTGAACACATGAATCATTAGAAGCAGCAAGTGATTGTTGTCCACCCTGAAATATGAAGGATAAAACACATTAGATACACGTGGCTACAACAAAAACCTCATTTGAAGGAACTTCTTACTTGAACTCTGCTGGATGAGACATTTCACAAGGACTAAGTTTCTCCTCCGGCAGTTGTTCTGCTTCCTCGACAGTCGTTTTGTTTTCTGGATCTTCTCGGACGTTGTCCTTTTCCTTCAGGTGGGGCTTCTGTCCTGCTTCTGCTTCTTTGTCATCTTCAAGGCTACCTGAAAGAGTCTGTGACTGGCTTTGCTCTGTAGAGTCATTGTGGCCACCACTTGTGTGAGCAAGGTCTGGACTGATGGGGGTAAAGCAGCACAAGTCTGTAGACACAGCAGAGGCCTGCAGGGAGTTGGAGCGTTGGTCCAGAGGGGAGACACACGTCTGTCCTGGAGCAGGGTCAGGCGGCTTGCCCTCTGAATCCTCCCGAAAGGGCTGCTGCGTTGGAGGCTCGGCGCTCTGATCAACGACGTGACTGTTCTTCTCTTCCTCCACCCCCTTCGCTTCTGGGTTCTCCCATGAGCCATTGAGCCGGTCCATGACATCACGGAGGGGCTGGCCAACACTGTTCATGGAGGTGTCTGTCATCTCTGGGAGACGCAGGAGGCCCTCAACGCTTTCTTCTCCTTCTTCCTCCACGATCACTGATCCAACCCGGCTTCTGCAGAGTTCTCCGTCACTATCCGCCTGTGCTACAGTGGAGCTCAATGAATCATCTGAGGTGAAGGCGCCATTTTCTGTTTCTGTGTGTTCGGAGGAGACGGAGTTATGGATGCTGCTGCTGGAATCCGTGGAACCCCTCGCTTGTCGCTTCCTGGCTGACTTCCTTCGTTTAGCCATCCTTGAATAAGAAGAAGGGTTAGCTGTAGATGAAAGGAAAGACAGAATCTGATCCTTAATGTTAGAAAGTAAAGATGCTGTACCTTATGACTTCAAGCTCGCAGCTGTGGATCTCCGCCTCACCTCCAGGAGCGGCGGTACTGTGATACCTGGCCATGTGAATTGGTGTGACGTCTGCTGAGGTATTTGTGTCCGAGTCTTCATTGAAGGGGTTGTACCTGGATGGGGGGCTGTGTGGAGAGAGGTGAGCGGCCACCTTCCCCTTTACTGTACCAGAAAGCAGCACTGTGTCACTGATGACCGTCTGGGGATCAGAGCCAGCGGACCGTGGGCAGCTGGCCTGATCGGTTAACTCACCCTCTACAGTGGAAACCACACAAAGACAGAGGATTAAACCAAAAGCAGCCTCTAGTGGCATTAAAGTCTGCAGAGCAAAGGAAATACACAGAATTAGTGTTCTCTTGTTGGTAGGGTGGCTGCCAAACTGAAACTTGTTGCTTTGGTTAAAAAAAGTTATTTAAAAAGTGATGTTTCAATTTGTTTATCTACTCAATATATTTTTGAAATTATGAGTACAGTGCAGCCAACCAAACAAGCTCACAGAAATGCTGTGCATCCTTCATCTGCAAAGCACAGTCGAAGTATTTTGGGAACTGGTCTGATGCATGCTCAATAACCCAGGTAGAAAAATCTACTAAGGGTGAGTCAGGTCCTCTGGATGGATTATTCTTTGTTGAAACTTTTATCCAAAAGATTTATTCAGTCTGAGGAGCTGCAACAAACTCAGTCTTATAAGTAGCACCTTATAGTGGATCAACCAGCTTGTTGGTGACATCCAAACCCAGATGTTCACATGATCAATGTATTTTGAGGTTTGAAAGCCACTGGGATGTCATGTTTCAAAAATTAACATCTAAACATGACGTCCCAGTGGCTTTCAAATCCCAAAATACATCAAGGCACAGACTGGTTCATCCCAAAGATCCAGTCCCCCGGCACAGAGTAATATTGTGTATGCTGTTCAGTGTCAGGAGGGTGATCAGTTTTACATTGGGGAAACTAAACAGTCACTGGCCAAAAGGATGGACCAGCACAGAAGAGCAACATCATCAGGCCAGGATTCTGACTCTACACTCATCTCCAGACCAGCGGTCACTCTTTCAGGGATGAAGATGTTCACATCCTGGATAGAGAGGAACAATGGTTTGAGAGAGGAGTAAAGGAGGCCATCTTTGTGAAGAGAACTCATCTATCTATCCATTATTTTTTACACGCTTCTTCCAGTTTGGGTCACGGGGGTCACCGGTGCTCATGTCCAGCTATCACTGTGCGAGGGGCAGGGTACACCCTGGACAGGTCTCCAGTCCATCACAGGGACACATGGAGACAAATGAGACAAACCACCATTCACTCTCTCACTCACACCTAGGGACAATTTAGAGTTACCAATCAGCCTAACATGTATGTTTTTGATCTGTGGGAGGAAACCAGAGTACCCGGAAAAAACCCATGCATGCACGGAGAGAACATGCAAACTCCACCCAGAAAGGCCTCCGAACCGGGATTTGAACCAGCAACCTTCTCATTGAGAGGCAGCAGCTCTACCAGTTGCACCACCGTGCTGCCACTGAAGAGAACCCGTCCATCATTAAACAGGAGCGGAGGCCTCCGTGTTCAACTGTCCCCCTCTTACAATGCTGTTATTGCTAGTATCATTAGCCTTCTGTGAATAGCAAGTGGCCATCAGGGCACTAACGATCAATGTTAGGCTGATGGTCCTTTATTATGTGAACAGCTAGTTTTGAATGTCAACAACAAACTGGTTGATCCACTATGAGAAGGTGCTGCTTATAAGACTAAGTTTGTTGCAGCTTCGCAGACTGAAGTCTTTTGGATAAAAGTTTCAACAAGAAGAATCTGGCCAGAGGACCCGACTCAACCTGAATGTACTTTGGGATTTCTTTGTCAGTGTAAAAGAGGAACAAAACACAATAAGTAGGACATCAAGGAATAGCACAGCCAGCAGCTCTTTTTTTGCAGAAACACAGGTCGAGGTCAAGCATTAATACTGTAGATTCTATCAGTATACTCAGATTTCACCACAATAACTGACCAGTTATGTCTTCAATCAAACTACAATTACAAGACTTTTTTTATGTTTGACCCGTGACATTTAACAACGTTTAAACTTTGAACTCGGGCAAACAGACAAAAACTAGATTACTAGTTTATCGTAAAACAAAAAATTGAGCTCAAAGCAAATCAGCATTCTACGCTCATTAGCAGATGTTTTTTTAAAACACGTACTACAGTTTAGCTGAACCTAGGCCAATGCAACACATCAACAGGAAGCGGGGACTACACAACGTTGTGCGACAGACACAGTACAATGAAAACTAGAGTTGATAAGGTGAGTACCAGCCGCTTCAGGTATTTACACTGCTGTGGTAAATATTAAGGCACAGTGAGCATTAGAGTAATATCCCACATGCAGAATGTGACAGACAGAAAACCTACCCAACAACTTACCACCCAAATGTAAGAAGATGCTTAGTGTTGCTTTAATTGTGTTTCTTCTTTGCTCAAAAAGTTAATTAAAATAGAATATAT